GTAGAGGGACATCAATTTGATCATAACAAGACTGAACATTGCCATTCCAAGATCGGCATCAGACAAAATAGCTATCGATTTGGCTATTATTGTAGGCATCTCACCATGCCACCTGAAATAATTTTAAAAATCGGTCAAAACTTACAATGTCAACGGCTACATACGAGAATTTTTCACAAAATGCGAACATATTTACTTGAACGAGACCAAAGAACATGTGAGCCCAATAAGACTGGAATATGTGTTCGGATTCCTAATCAGTTTCCGCCACACCATAATCAATATGAGCCGAGTCATCACACTAGTCGGAGGCATAGCTGTTGTCTTGGGCTCAGCGTCAGGCTTAGGACGAAGCTCGGAGGTCGAGCCCAGCTTCGATAGTACAGGCCCTTCCCTGTCCGTCCCATTTAGTCCCCATTTGTTCCCGAAACTGAACTCGTCCCCGGCCAAAATCATCATAATGTAAAGCAGTCGAAAAATCAGCAATTAAAATAAGATCAAAATAGTGATGATTTAAAACTCCATTCACAGGTAGAAGACAAACAAACTAAACTTTCAGGGAGGCGGCTGGCTAATAATAAACCAATTAACAGAATGTCAATTCTAGAGGGAACTCCATAGGAAAAAGACATATCAAACAAATATCTCTTCAACCACAAGCTAATAAAAGAAATCCGAATCCGAGGACAAGTCTTAGTAAAAGACAAATATAGTTACATATAAAAGTAGACAAATCCAAGAACATATTAGGATTACAATCAACCATTCATATGCACAAACAAGAACAGAATTAAACAATTATAGGATCAAGTAGTGATAGTTTAGTCTACAGGTGATTTGACCAAAAAAACGAGAGAAAAAAAAAGTCCAAATGAGCAAAAGTTACCTTTGGGATGAGCAAAAGTTATCTTTCGCAATTTCTAATCAAGAAAATATAAAATTATACTAGAGCTTGCAACCCATGCTTCCTGTGTCCAAGAAGAATGATGAGAAAGGTAAAAGAAATCATAGCGTACACGTAGCCCATATTTGTTGAGAATATCTCGGATCTCCAGCTGATCTTGCTCCCACCCGCCGATGCCTATCTTAAACACTTCGATCGGGCCTTTCCCTTATCGATATACGTGCACCTTCGCCTCGGGCACCTTCGTGTGTTTTTTTCCAACTAGATTTGAGGGGGAGGCAGAGCGATTTGGGCGAGCGAGAGCGATTTGGGGCGAGCGATTAGGGCTTGATTTCGTTCCTTTTGCGAAAAGTCTTGCATTTTGCAACGTTTGATAAACGTTGCTAAAAGTAAAACTTTTTGCAACACTCAATAAACGTTGCTAAAGGTGTCTACCGCAACATTTTTCTAAAAAACGTTGCCAAAACTCATTTATATTAACCAATTGCAACATTTACTTACTAAAATGTTGCCAAAAGACCTTTTTGACAACATTTGTCAACAAATGTTGCCTTTTTAATGTTGCAAAAGACTA